GTAACGCAGTTGGTCTTTAATCTATTTTTAACAAAAACCATTAATCACTATTTGATATATTACGCTGTTACGCGATACAACTTACTTCCCCTTTTGAAGTTCTGTCAGAAAGATGAAAAGCGCTTTTTTGATTAGCCTGTGAATGGTTTTTGTGACGAGAAAGCAAGTCATCGATTTTAGGGCCTGTTTAACAGACCAATAAAAAAAGTCCAGGGCATGGCATGAGTTTTGTTTGGGGTGTAGTGACCGGATTGTTCAATCATTACTTAACAATTGAAATCCATCAAAATATCGCCTGAAGCTAGTCTGTGGGAAAAACGGTCTATTATCTAGATTTTTGACACATTGCGGTAGCAGTGATGCTGATGATTGTCTCAAACATGGTAGAATTCGAATCGCTTTCGGCTTGTTTCACAAGCAGTTTTCGAAAAAGCAGTGGTGAGCAGCACTGAGGTGATTTTGGATGGCTGTACTTTTTTGAAGCAATTTTTGTGCTTGTTTTTAGTTTTATTGTTTAACTATACCAATTTGAACGGTCGTTTTTTTCAGGTCATGTCAGCGGAAAGAACTGGTAATTTTTTCAGCATTATAACAAAGATTCTTATTCACTTAGTTTTTTAATATTTATTATGAAGTTTGTTTTTTGTACTTTTTTTTTTTATTAAAAGAAAATCTTTGACGTGCAGGTTTACGGAGCTCTATAAAATTCAAGGGGTTGTAAAACTAATATTTTATAAAAATTAAACAAGATTTGAAAAAAATTTCGCTTTTTGGTGATTTTTTTCTTTTCTTATGAAACTATATTTTGATAATTGTAGGTGCTTCTTCTACAGTTGCAGAACCAGCAAAATCCGCTGGATCAGCTGAATCTTTTACGTTAAGTACGTTGCCATTTTGGGAAACTTGGTTTTTAAACTTGTGCCATAGTCTAATTTTAGTTGTTTCCATTTGTAATTCACAGTCTGTTTCTTCAGCTTCGCAGCTTCCGGTTCCTTTGCTGCCTTTTTTGGTCGATGCACCGTCTGCTGGCGGAACCGCATGTGTGTTCCCTCTTGTAAAGGGAATTCCAGCTCAGTATTTCTTCCACCGGAAACACGTGACAGAGCTTTAGCTGTTTCGGGATATCCTTGTATTTTTTTTCCGCTTCCTTTTTACCCATCACCACCCCCTTTCTCTCTCCCTCTTCCATATGTTGCCCAGCTAGCGACAGAGTGATCTACGCCACGTAACCGTTCAATGCATCCACCCAAAACCCCTTCTTTTGCTTCGAATCCACGCTTCCGAAACCCGTACATATCGTCCCATTCAACCCGAACCCATCTGCAGCATCCAACATTCATTGTTACATTTGGGTAAAGTCGCTCGTTACCAGTTGAAAAAATTTTCCGCAAGTCGGGTATGAGCCGGCCGAGCCGAGTTTTAGTAATTGCTTACATTTTATTGAAAAAATTGTTGGTGGTTGTGCCTACTTCTCAGTGATGGTATGTTTACAGTGAATACGATGAGCATGGTATAAATCGGGTCCGGTAGTGGTGCATCCAAATTTTGAATGCATTTTTGTAATGCCATTTCTTTTATCGCTTGGTCCCTTTCTGTTCAAGACATTGCATTAATAGTTATATGCCTAGTTTGAAATAGTACTTTTTTTCTCGTTTTATTCCACGTCTTGAATTTAAAATGTAAAGAGAAATAATGCTTTAGGACGAATGCCGTTCAATGCGCAGATGCCAAAACTGAAAATAGCTGGGCGTATTTTGCAGCTCAGTGCTGATTCCGAAGCACAGACCTGTAAGCCGATGACGCTGAAAAATGCTGCTGGTGAATTGGTAATGATCCAAATTCAGATTTTTTGGTTTTTAAAGGTTTCTGGCAATTCTCTCTGTAGGTTCCACAATCCGTAGGGTTACAGAGCAGAACTGCTTTCAACCTAAAAGGAACATGAAGGGGGAGGAAGAAAAGAAGCACTACCTATATGTGCAAAAATTGTAAAAAAACTAGACGAGGTAGGAAAGACAGAAATATAAGACCACAGTGAACTGGAAATATGGAAAAATGAAACGTGAAAAAAAATTTGTGATGGAAAAATGATATTGAAAAATGAAAAAATCGAAAAAAAAAATGAAAAAAAATTTATGATGAAAAAATCTGTCTTATGAAAAAAATGTTATTTACTAAGTGCTATTGCCAGTTGTTGTTCGATATAGATGCAGAATATCAAAAATATGAAGGTTGCTGCATCTGATACGGGCATAATTTAGATAACAGTGGTTCGTCGTTCAGATGGGCGTCTGGTCATGGTAACACCTCATTCGGAACCTCTAAAAGGTAATCGTTTTTTTGAAAAAAAAAAAAACAGTTCAGCTATTAAGATGAATTCGATAACCGTACCATAGTTGGGTGTATTTCCGATCTTTTTTTTCGAATTTTCACATTCAGTGAACTTCATTATTTTTCTGTTGAAAAATAATGCGTTTGCTAAACAGTCAAAGTTAAATCCTCCACATATTCTGCTCTCTGTATCGGGTACGACTGTTATAATTGATTAACACATACTCCAAAAAAACAGCTAATCTGGCAGTGTTTCACTTTTTCGGAGGTTGCTTTTGAAAAACAGCTGAAGGCAGTTGGAATTCTGAACATGCTTGTTAGAATTTATTATCGAAAACGGGTTGCATCAAATTTGGTTTGTTTTTTGCTGGGGATTTGATCAGCAGTCAAGGCTT